ACCATGTTCTATTGAAGGTCTCACCATGGAAAGGCTTAATACGCTTTGGAAAGCGTGGAAAGCTAAATCCAAGATACGTAGGGCCATTGGAGATTCTCGCCAGAATCGGCCTTGTAGCTTACAAACTTAATCTACCACGTGAACTTAGTAACATACATCCAACCTTCCATGTATCGAACTTGAAAAAGTGTCTGTCCGATGAGACTCTTGTTATCCCACTCGATGAGATCGAGATCAACGAGAGCCTCAACTTCGTGGAAAAACCGGTAGAAATCATGGACCGAGAGGTCAAACAAACGAAACAAAGTTGCATACCATCATGAAAGTTCGCTGGAATGCCAAGCGAGGACCTGAATTCACATGGGAACGTGAAGATCAGATGAAACAAAAGTACCCACATATTTTTCTCTGATTCACAAGTATCTTTCTTACTTTACAACTCGCCTTCACAACCTACCTCCACTACCTACCCCACCACCCTCACCACCACCACCACCACCCATCACCACCACCCGCCACCATCACCTCCACCCACCACCCACCAAAACCACTAACCACCGAAAACAACCGACCACGACACATCACCACCACCTACCTTCACTACCTGCCACCACCACCCCACCCATCACCTACCAAAAACACCATACACCATCACCACCAACCACTACCCACCCACCCACCACCACCACCTATCATCCTCACCCGTATCTATCACTCATCACTACCGCTCGCCACCACTACCTGCCACCCACTATAATCACCACCCTACATGTCACCCCCACCACCTACCACTTACCACCACCAAACATCACTACACACCACCTCCATCCATCACCACCAACCATGATTATGTGTATATAATCATATGTGATTATTTGTATTTAATCACATATGATTTATATGGACAATATTCTTTGTTGTTCATATAAATCATGTGATTAGATACATATAATCACATGTGATTAAATGTATTTAATCAAATGTGATTAGATATATTTAATCACATATATCATTATTGCGTTCTCTATTCAATAATTATTTTTGTCAACTTTAATCATATGTGATTAGACACATATAATCAAATGTGATTATATGTATCCAATCACATATGTTTTACATGAACAATATTCATTTTTGAGTTTTCGTTTCAATAATTTTTTGTCATATGTTTAATCACATGTGATTATAAGTATTTAATTACTTATGATTAATGTGGACATAAATTTAATTTAATGTTCTTGATTTAATAGATGTTCTTGTATATATAATTACACGTGCTTATATATATATATATATATATATATATATATATATATATATATATATATATATATATATATATATATATATCATCACATATGATTTATTGAATCAAGAACATGAAAATAAATCTTTTTCACATAAATTGTATGTGACTAAATACACGATACCAACTATTGAATTAAAAACGCAAAAATTAATATTGTCCACATAAATCATATGTGACTAAATACATATAGTCACATGTGATTATATATACCTAATTACATATGATTTATGTGGACAATATTCATTAGTTCTTTCTCAATTCAATAGTTGTACTCATACTTAATCACATATGATTATATGTATCACATCATATATGATTTATATTGATAATATTTGTTTTCATATGTTTTATTCAATATTTTTTCTTATGTATTTAATTGTATGTAATTGTATATATTTAATCAGATATGATTAATGTGGAAAAAGAAAAAAAAACTATTGAATAAAAAATGACAAAATGAATCTTGTGTATAGAAATCATATGTGACTAAAAGTACAAGAACAACTATTGAATGAGAATGCGAAAATGAAGATTGTACATAGAAATCATATATTATTAGATACATATAATCTAATGTAATTAAATACATAAGAACAACATTTGAATCAAGAATGCGAAAATTAATACTTTCCACATAAATTCTATGTGATTAGATACATATAATCACATGTGATTAGATACATATAATCACATGTGATTATATGCGTTTAATCACATATTGTGACAACCCGAGATTTCAACTCTATGTAACGATCTAAAAAGTCAAGTATTGTAACCACGTTTGTTATAATGAAATTAACTTCGAAAATAAAATGTCCAGAAATCACTAATTAAATTACCTATTATGTTAGATGTCATTAAACCGTGATCGTACGTAAAAAGAACGCCCAAATCTGACATCGTATAAGGAAGTTATGAATTATCCAAGTTCGGCTTAACAACGGATAGCTAAAAACTCGAAACAGAGATCGAGCGACTTTTAACTGGAATAACCTAAATGAGAATCGAAGGTCTCAACAATGGTTTTTCAATGGTAAAAAGTCTGGCAAAAACAGACATCAGATAATGAAGTTATGAATTTCTAATGAAATTTTCTTACCGCGACCTTTTAAAAATAAATAATAAAAATAATTTCAAAATTTGCCGACGGAATCTAAACGACAGTTGTAGAGTATAGTCTCACCTACGTGTGGATATAAAGATCCTCAAAAACGGAGTTCGTATGAAGAAGATATGGATTTTTGAAGTTTATTAAATATTAAAAATATAATTTTTATATTTAATTTCGGTATTATCCGAAGGGTGAGTCACGGGCCGATCCGAGTTACGCCCAGCGTACTCGAGGCCTAGGCCTCGAATCGTCCACATCGCCCCTATGCGAGGCTTTATCCCGTCCCATCCGAAGTCCAAGGCAGTCGAGGATGCGGTCATGCATGACGTATGAGTATGCCCAGCGTACCGAGACGGTTCCCACCCCCTATAAAAGGGATGCGAGGGTTCCGAAGAAAATGCTCAATTTCTCTCAACTTTCTTGAGTTTTTTCCTCATTTTCCGTGCACGTGCTATCCCGAAGTCCTGGTTTCCTTGCTCAAGTCCCTAAGGTCGTTTATGCTCCCGAGATTCCCAAGAATCCCGAGAAAATCCACTTTTTCGAGTCGAAATTCTACTCGGTTTTCATCTCGCCTTCTTCGATCTTTCAAGTGAGTTCATACCCCTATAATCCACACTTTTAAATGTCTTATAAATACTTTTGTATGCTTTTAGGGGGGGGGGGATACAAGTAAAAACACTCGATTGTTATCGTGTGATATATAAAGTTTCATGATACGCTTTTTATCAATGGAATCATATGTGATTTATAACTATTATAGGGAAACTTTCATATGCAAAATATACCACGATAACATCTTATCTTTTGAAATAATAAATGATTTATGTACTTATAAATCAAACACTCTGCTTATACTGTATGTATATGTGTCCGTTTTGGCACTACAAAAATTATACTTTTCATAACAAGTGAGTATTTCACTAGGGATTACTATACAAACGAAACACGCTTTTAGAAAACTATAATCGTTATAGTTTTATGAGAACACTACGAACTTTTACATACTGGAAATACTATTTCAAGAAGTTACTTTCATATACAAGAACAAACGAACATTTTCACACGTAAATCTGTTTTATACTAAGTTTTGTGAGACATTAAACTTCACGTACGCTCGAGACACATTTCAAGTCCTGTATTATATACCATAAGAGCATGGTGTTTATGTATAGATCTATACTAGATTGACAACCCCGCGCCCTGACTGTTAGCTACAGTACACCATTTGGGGTGACAAATGTCAGAACATTCCAACGCCTGAAGAACGTTGTGTATAGGCATTTCTAGTCAATAGCATGGTTATAAAACTCACATAGAGTATTAAAAACACATTGATTTATGAGGTTATTTAGACGTATTGGAGATTTCATACGTATAACTACTTTAGGCATGAAAAACCTAATTGTGATACAATTTTGGAACTTCTAAACCGCTACCCACATATAGGAAAACATAAATTTTCTAGAAACAAACATTGGTCTTGATTTAAGGCTACATTTATACCAGTAGAAAATATGGGATTTTCTAGGAACCAACGAACAAAAACAAACCATTTCAATTTAGTTCATGCAACATTTTCATTTAATACTTATGAAACTCACCAGCTTAAATGCTGATCTACTCTTTCAAAACTACTTGTATGTCCCAGGGACTCAGTAATTGCAGGTACCAAACAGCTTTTTGAAGAAGGAACGCTGCGGCGTCTGTTTATATTCATATTTTTGGCATCATATTGTAATTGGTTTTGAACATGTACTCTTTTAACAATGTAAACTTTCAATTATATATATGATGGTTGTATTGCTTTCTTTACTATTATATTCATTTGTTACGTTACCACATGAAGTCATCCGCCCCCGAACGTTTCTGCCGTTTTGGTTTAAGGGTGTGACACATATGATATATATGGACAATATATATATATATATCTTTGTGTTAAGCATCGACAATGTGCCAGGCATGCTATGCCAATTTCAAGACCTTCATGATGGCAAATGATTGGTAGAGATATCCGACCAACATAAGGTTTGTTTTCAATACTCCATTTTATATAAATGTTAACACAATTTAAAAGGGATGCATATTGAGTTGAATGTTCTTGTCTTGTAAGGATTGGTTGAAGCTGTAAAAGATATACTCCCAAATGTTAAACATCGACAATGTGCCAGGCATGCTATGCCAATTTCAAGAAATTATTGTGGGTTGCATCAATGAGGTGTGTAAAAAAGTGACTTTATGAGGCACGTGGAAACCATCAAGAAGTTGAGCCCATTTGCATATGAGTACTTGATGTCAAGAACCAAAACATGGTGTAAAGCTTATTTTGATATGGATTATGCATGTGAAGCAGTTGCGAATGGAATCTTTTAGTATTTCAACAACTCAACGAGACTATCACCCAACTTTCTTCCTGCTTGAACAACGATACCAACACTGTAGACCTAATCCTCTTCAAATACCCAAATTTCGTTATGATTCCTTCCGAAAAGCCCAAGATTTTTCCCAATAGAGTACGATTTACTGAGATTGAGTTGATGTTTCAGAGAGAGGGTGTGGAGCTCTATGTCTAACGTTTACCGAATGGGGTTAATTTCGTTGTTGGTTAAGAAACGGGGGAAACGTCTTTTACAGTTGAGGGGTATGTGGAGGGATAACCGGTAAACCCTCTTGCAATCGGTTATTTGGCATAAACACAAACAATGAGACAAGTATACGGCATTAACGACCCAAAAACCCACCGGAGGGTAAAACCGACTTTTCTTGCAAAATTAAGTTTTTTTTTTTTTTTTTTTTTTTTTTTTTTTTTTTTTTTTTTTTTTTTTTTATATCCATTTATTTGTGTATTAGGTCTATTCCAAAAATGAAATAACTAAATTGCTCTTATTTATTTACTTTTTGATTTTTTTTAATGGACCAAAATTCAAAAAAATACAAATCACAAGGACTATTTTTATAGTTTTGTCATAAAATTATGATGTCGATGGCTACACTTTAAATTTTTTAAATCTTAATCCCTTTTTCATAAAGATAAATAAAATAATAAATGATTGAAATTCAATAATAAATGACCGAAACTATCCGAGACACAGTGTTGAGTGTACAATCTTTTGGATTTGGATTGGAAAATGCCACGTTAGAAACCTGTCTCTATCCCTTTCAACTTCTCTTTCGTGACTTTTACTATAAGAACATGAATTGAAGCAGAATGTTCGAATTCAACTATCGAGTCGCCATTAAAGAGAAAGCTCACACAAGCCATATGCTTCAGCAATTGCTTCACCCTTTTTCCCTTTCTTGATTCGTTACTCCTCAAAATCCAGGTAAATAATAAAAAACTGTGTAATTTGATTTGTATCTATGAAGCTTTTCTTCTCCGATCGCGTTTTTTGTTTCGGTTGTTCTGTCAACACATCGAAGCCGGAGATAATCTCCGCCGATGATTGCATATCTCGCCGGCGCACAAATCAACGAAAATCGACAAAGCACTGGAGGCCGGTGCTGAAGGCAATTGAGGAGGACGGCGTGCTCAGTCGAAGCCCTGAATCAACGGCCATCGCTAGATCTGAGAAGAACCTACTGAATAAATCTAAATCCGCGAGAAGAACTCGATCTGAGTCCTTTCACGACGATTATTGGTAAAGTTCTCTATATTCTATTAGAAACAAAAAACAACTACTCATGTTGAAAACTTCAAACGATTATTTACAACTTATAAACCTGATCTTATGATATTTTGAGCTCAAATTGCAGGAAATCGAGTCATGAGATGATAGCAGTTCCAGTTTTTTCTCCAACGCCGTTTATGTTTTGATTTTAATCTTGTCTTCTCCTTGACAGTTCGTCCCTAGTTTCTGTACATTCAGATTGTTAACAAATTTTCTTGTGTTTTTTTTATTTTTTTTATTTATGTAACATTGTAAATTTCTAATTAAACAGTAATGTTTGATTTTTTTTTTTAATCAACGTATGCTATTGACAAATATATGCCACGGAATTTTACCCTTTAAACACCTAACATATGAAATGCCGGCGCAAAGCGGCGACAAATAACTCGTTTCTCGAATTGTTTTCTGCTTATGGTATTGATATTTTAATTATTCAAGATTTACTTGTGTATGAGTTCAGTCGCTATAGTTGTTTAGTTTATGATTATTAATATTTGTAGTTAAGGATAACATCTTAGTCACATTAATAGAATAGTTATCATGTTTATATTGATCAAAACATGTTAATTCATTGTGTCATTTTATGGTTTTTATTTATTTATTTATTGCATTCTTGCGTAACATCGTATCTTTGAGCATACAATATACTATCATTATATGATTTCATTAAAATAATAGAAACAAATTAATTGGTATATGTTATAATTAATTATAAAGTAATAAAATAATTATTAATTTTAAGTAAAATATTGATGTTTTAACCATATACTTATATTTTGGTTGACTTTCAGTATTTCAAAATTTTCATTTGGCAACTAATTGAATTTCATAGTAATTTTCTTTAATTCACATCTTTTAAATTTTGACAAATATCAATGATTTATTTATGTATAATTACAAATAAAAAAAAAAAGTTATACCTTTCAAAATTCAGGATACCACACATATGTTTATTTGATAATTGAATTAAATTCAATGTATTTTTTTCAAAAAAAAAAAAACATATAGAAAAAACAAAACAAAACGTTAATAGTTTAACTAGAAAATATATGATTTTTTTGGTAGATCAGTATTGTAAAGGCACGGCTTATTGTTGGCTTTGTTAAAACTTAAACTAAAAAACATTGACTTTCACTTCTTATTATTTGATGGATTGAGATGACTACATCTAGGCCGGCTTTATTCTTGCAAACAATATTAAAATGATAATTTTTTAGAATCTAATTACATATTGTTTTTCCAACATAGAATCAAAATATTATGACAATCAGTGTGTGTGTATATATATATATATATATATATATATATATATATATATATATATATATATATATATATATATATATATATATATATATATATATAATCATTTGAGAACCTATAGTTTTCTGAGAACCCGAAAACTAAAAGTAGAACGTTAGATAAAAAAAAAGGTCAAAATGTAAGGTGACGCTTTTGTAAATAAGTTGAAAACTAAAGAGGCAATGGTATCTTAATTAAATTAGGCAATGGTAATATCGAAAACAAAATTGTAATTAAATTGTATCTTAAATCTTCCGATAAATTAATATTGCATCCCAAGATGTACCATCTTCTTTCCAATGATTCCCCTAGTATATCTCTTTTCCGACACGGAAGTGTGTGTTGCATCATCTCCACAACCACCAATTATGTTTCGCTCATCAAGTTCGTCGATTTTGAATCCACCGACTGTATTCCTCCACAAATTTGTCCAAATGTTGAATTAATCGTGCTTCCGTTATTGATCTCTAGTCTCCAGCCGATTTTGTATCCACCACCTCTGGCCTCCACAATTTCTTCGAGATCTAGAATTAGAGATAATGTTACCATCTTTTATCTCCTTTTATTTCAATTTTGTGTATGTTATGTTCAATAATCACTATTACGATCCATCGTTAATCGTAAGGCCACCGTTTTTGAAATTAGAGATACATTTAACATGATTTGCTTTTTGTATATGACTCTATGAGGTTGATTTGATTATTAATAGTGATTTTTTGTATAATTTCATATCTTGAGATGTAAGGAATTAATTTAATAGTTTTATCCAGTGATTGTTTTGGTGATTACTAGCTCTATTTAAACATAGTTTAATGAGATTAATTCTTAAAAAGTGTACGCATGAAGTGGTTAGCCTTTTCAATGAAGTTTCATTGTAACTTGGTTTATTTATTAATCTTACTATCAACATATTTATTTGTTCGCCTTCTATTTTGTATCGAGTTTATAGAATATTGTGTAATTGAATATTTAATTAGTTGTGAACTTCTTTATCATTCAACCTTAGTTGCATACAACATATATATATATATATATATATATATATATATATATATATATATATATATATATATATATATATATATATATATATATATATATAGGGTTAGGTTATATTGTTTCTAGTAACTATTGTATGCCAGAATGCACAAATCTGGACCACCAGATGAATAGAATCAACAATCATGATCTGATGGTCTATGATATTACAATAAGTTAGCACGTATTATATAATCTCACAAATTTCAACAAAAGGGTATTTTGATCAATTAATCTATTTTAAAAAAGGAAATTTTCGGATTTTAAGGGATCGTTAATTCCTTTATTTTTAAAAAATCTGATTTTTTTAAAATTAATTCTAATTAAATTTTAATATTACTTGTAATAATAACCGATTTTATTCTATTAGAATGACAAAAAGTCAACAATAAACTAGTAAATATATTTGCGGTTTTATTCTTGCATAAAATTGTTTCATTAAAGATATTATATTAAACATGATTAAAGAATTATACAACATATTATCAAGAAAAGCATTTTCAAAAGAATACGGATGTTATTATTTAAGAATCAATATTTACATTCACCCGTAAAGAAAAAGAATATAAACAATTATTACAATAATTCTAAAAAAATTATGACTAATAATGGTTTAAGGATTACATTTTAAAAAAGAAAAAACATCAAAATGTAACAAAAAAAACTACTCTATTCCGAAAGAATATTATTCTGAGAGAATATTAACGTTCTCCATGTTTTCTTCATTTCCACATTAATGAAAACCTCTTCAAAACCTGAATTCACAAGGAAGACATAATCAACTTTCAAATATTAAAAATTTTAGTGCATTAAATAGAATAAAATAATAAATTCTAATAGAATGTGATATGCATTCAAATAGAATATAACTATAATTTCTACAAACCAACATCAACATTGAATTCTTTCTTTTGTACGATCAACATTGAATTCTTTCTCCATACAATTCTGAAAGAATAAGATATGTTACTTGTTAGTATTACCAGTTAAACAAATAAACTTGTTAACAAACATTCTCAAAAGACATTCTAACAGAATGCATTTATATAAATAAATTCTAATAGAATATATTACAGAATGCACTTAAATCGTAGTCTTTTTTTTTTTTTCTATATGCATAAAATTCTAAAATATGTATAAATCTATTTTGTCAGAATTACTAGCAACACATATTTTATGTAATATTTATATTCTCATAGAATGAACATGTGTTTGCATTCTGATATGAAAAAAATCTCAAGCTTAACCTTTTTCATGTAAATTCTTACAGAATGCCAACTTATCCCTTTTTATTCATGTGACTAACAGGAGGAAAGCATATTTAATTTCACAGAAGCAAAGCATATCTAAGTCTAGTCTAGCATAAAAAATAATCTAACTCATTGATAATTACATGTAAATTAGGTAAAACATTTTTGTTATTAAAATCTAAATTAAAATGTCTCACGCTGAAACTTACAATTTGTCTCGTACAAATTGATTTATTGGAAAATAGCTACGTCCTTTTTTCAAACCCATAGAAAATAGCGGACATTTAAGATTCAAACCCATGAAAAATAGCCGCATCCTTCAAATATAACATAGAAACGTCGATTTTTATGAAATAGAATAAAAAATAGCCGCATCCTTTTTTCTACTTCATACATTGATAGGGTTTATAATCGGTGCTTAGATTAGTTTACCTCTCCTCGACAACATATGAAGACGATGGCGTTGGTGATCGACGATGGTATTGAGCGGGAATATTTGTCGGACTTGGGGAGGGGAAACAAGGAATACGACAATGTTAGAGGATCATTGACCAACGCGATGGAACCGGTGGAAGAAGGGGAAATCATCAATCGCTGTCAATAAGGGGGTTTAGCATCTCCGATTAGCGGAAGAATAAAGAAGAATAGGGCGGGTTTTGGTGGTTCTGTCGACGGAAAGAGAGGGGGGGGGGGGGGTTACGGTTCGGGGTGTTGGTTTTGTAGAGTGATCTCGTTTAATGAATACTCTGATATATAGAATTAGGGTTATGAAGATGAAATACGTGATATTCTATTATTTCCTTAATTATAGGATCCCAATTAAATCATTTCCTTTAATTAAAAGCACAAAAAGTCCAAAATACCCTTTAATGATTTATTTAATGATATATTATTTCTTGAATTCTTATTGGTGCATTTAGGCACACAATAGTTGCTAGAAACATTTGAACCTAGCTCTCTCTCTCTCTCTCTCTCTCTCTCTATATATATATATATATATATATATATATATATATATATGAATATTTTTTTCGTATAAAACTTTTATATGATATCCATTTCTGAATCTTATATGATAACATCATTCATATCTATATATGTTTATATGTGTAGCTGTTAATATACTTATGTACTCATAATTTTTGGTTCTTGTAAATATACTTATGTGCTCACAGTTCCATAGTTTTTGGTTCTTGTGAATTAGTTGTAAAAAAACAACAATTAACATGTCACTCATAGATGCAGTCGCTTATCGATGATGAAGTACGCTTATAATCACATGTGAATAACATATGAATTACATGTGAATCACAAGAAAATCACATATGAATTACATGTGATTCACATGAAAATCACATGTAATTTACATATGAATCACATATAATTCACACGTAAATCATAAGTGAATTATATATAAATTATATGTGAATTACATATCACAAGTGAATCACATATGAATTACATGTGATTCACATGTAAATCACATGTTATTTATATATGAATTAAATATTTAAATGTGATTTACATGTAATTCACATATGAATTACATGTGATTCACATGTAAATCACATATGTATTTTTATGAGTGTTTTTGCATAAAGAAATTTCTTTTTATTTTTCTTGTAGATTTGGAAGAAATTGTGATGAATATTGAAGAGGTGAAAAGTGATAAATTGAAGAGAATATGGAAATATTGACAAGAAGACATGAAAACGCTTTGACATTTTATAGCATTTTTTGTTTTTGATAATTTATATTGTATCAAATAAAATATGTATTGTATTGTTTTTATAGATTAGTAAATAAAATGATTTTCTTATGATTCATTTACGAATATTATAATATATGAAAGACAAACTTCAAAAATGGTCCCTGTGGTTTTCGAAAATATCAAGTTTAATCCCTAAGTTCAAAAAACCTCACGGATCGTCCCTGTGGTTTCAAAACTTTTTACAAATGGTCCTTCTCGCTAACTCCGTTAACTTTTGGCCGTTAACTTAAGGTTATTTTCGTCATTTTACTATGACAAGGACCATTTATGAAACTTTGTCTTATTTAAAAATAAAAGAAATATATATATATATATATATATATATATATATATATATATATAATTATTTAATATAAAGAGGGCCCACCCATTTCTTTCTCTCTCTCTCTCTCATAATGGAAAATTAGGGAAAATTGACTCGTACATCCACCATACTCGTTTACCCCATTCTATTTTATCTTCATAGAAACAGGTCACTACCTTAATTGCTTCTCCAATCGCTACTCGATCATTTGGTTTGCGTTCGACTGCAAGTGACCCTGAAGGTCGACCATGGCTGCCTTTTCCTCATAATTCAGAAATCAATCTTCCTTCAAATTCAGCAACAACAATAGATTCGATCAAGTAGGTGGAATCTACGAAGAGTTCTGGATGCGTGAGACTAGTGTTCGTTCGTGGGGATGTAAGATTTCTTCTTCTTTTTTGCTTTGGATAGACAGACTTTTAGGAAGGAAGAAGGTACAGTTGGTAAACTTGATGATAGGATGAAGCTTAGATCTTCGACTATCAATGTCTCCAAACTTCTTTCTGTTAATTTTATCACACAGCTAAGAAACCTTTTTCCCCTGGGTAACAATGTTTTTGAAACACTGAAGAACTTCACTTTAAATATTTAGTCCTCTATCAATAGAGGCGTGCATATGAGCAAGCTTAGCGGATCAACATTTTTCTTCATCCTTTCGTGCTGTAGCATTGTGCTCCATCATGATTTCACTGACTTCTTCTAATGGAAGTCTCCATTCCTCACCTAAATCTCCCAAATTGACTATCACTTTGCTTTTAGGATCTGAGAAACTATCAGGGGTTGAGGAGCTACAAACTTCAGCAACATAAGCTCCCCCTGAGAAGGGATCCTTTCTTTTTCTTGGAATGAGCTGATCATCATCAAACTCAATGTCACTATGAGACCCTTGAGGAATCTCCCCATCAGAGAATGCATCAAGATAGATGACATTAAGAGGAACAACAGTTTACCGCATAAAATCTATATTCAAAAAACCTTCATAAAATTCATAATCTTTATCAGTCTCAAATTGATTGTCAGTGTTTTCAGGCTCAGGATCTGGTGTGACAACCCTATATTTTCCAAAAGCATTGTAACGCTCAAAAGTCAAATACAACTAAATTAACCTTGAAAATAAAGTATTCAAATATCTAAGTTGGGATGTATCAAATATTAGATAACGTGTCAAGGTTTCCGAAAACATAAAGAACGCTCAAAACCGGGTTATATTGAAGAAATTACAACCACTCGTATATTTACGACATGCCGTTAAAACATTATTTGACGTAAAAAGGAAAAATCTTAATAATATGCATTCTAGCCTTAAGTATCTAAACAAAAATCGTAGATCTCGTCGAAAGGTGAGCGTGCATAAAAAGATCGCCCAAATTGGACCTCGTATGAAGAAGTTACGAATTTTCAAAGTTTCGTAACAGTAGTAGAGGGCTAAAAACTCGAATTGAAGATCGAGTGTAAATTAGCTAACGCAATCTAAATGAGAGTTGAAGATCTCCGCAATAGGAGCAAATTGATAAAAAGACAATCGGAAACCGACGCCGAATAAAGAACCTATAAATCTTTAACGAACTTTAGGAGGCCCGGCCTATTTAAACTTATGTCATTAAAAATAAAGTCAAAACTAGCCGACAGAGTCTAAAAGAAAGTTGTAGAGCATAATCTCACCTACGCGTGGATATAAAGAACACGAAAAATGGAGCTCGTACGCGAAAGTTACGGAATTTAGAAGAGGACAGGCCAGATTACGCCCCGCGTACTCTGGGAGTACGCCCCGCGTACTAGACCCAGAGTCGAGTCCCATCAGCCCGCCCACTCTACGCTTAGCTAGCCAGGAGTCGTAAGCCATGACGCATTGTTACGCCCCGCGTAACCGAGGTACGCCCCGCGTACTTCGGAGGTACGCGCCGCGTACGAGGGTTTCCAGCCCTATAAATAGAAGGCATAAGCTCGAGTTTTTGCACACCATTCACAAGCCCTCAGTCATTCTCTCATACTTCTAAGCTCCAGAGACCCTCCCCTCACCTCGGTTTCCGCACTCGAGCCCCCGACGAAAGATTTACGTTGCAGAGATCCCCGAAGAGCCCGACGACGCAACTATCCGCGATCGAAGTTCTACTTAACTCTAGGCTCTCTCTTCAAACTTAACGAGTGAGTTCATACCCCTACTTTTCAATTCTTTTTCATGTTTTAGGGGGGAGGGGGGAATACAAGTACATTACACGTTAAAGTATCGTTTTATAAACATAAATGAAATTTCTATCTTCGAATATCGATATAAACAACTTATGTATACGGAGCTATTATGTCACTAAGTTATTTCTAGTAAATGGAACATACTATTGGAAAAACTATAATGGGTATAGTTAACAAGTCAGTCCTACATTTTACATATACATCTTGAAAAACAAAACACTTTCAAAAGAAGTAAGGTCATTTCATTGTAAATCTACTTATACTAGGCAATGTGAGATATTCAAACTTCAACGTACATTTTTGTATGCATTTCAAGTCCTGTATTATATACCATAATCTCTTGGAGGGAGAGCGTGATACTTGTGTACAGATCTATACGAGATTGACAATCCCGCACCTAAACGACTAGCTATAGTTAGACCGGCAGGTCTGGGGTGACAAATGTCATAACACTGCAACACCTGAAGAATGTTGTTACAGGCCGTCAGTGTCAATAGCATGGTTATAAAACTCACATAAAAGTATAAAACAAGATTGATTTACGAGATTCATATGTGCATTGCAGCTTTCTACATTAGTTTTCATACAAAGTTGTTTTTAATCATTCAAGTATAAAAGATACCAACACCTTCCAACTTTGGAAACTTTTTGAATCACTTACAAGGAAATATTGGATTTTCTGAAAACCTCGTTTACCAATTTACTACCAAAAAGGATATACTTTTCAACTTGAAACACTCATGAACTCACCAACTTAATTGTTGACACTTTTCAAAACCACTTGTATTTCTTAGGGAATCAGTGATACAGGTAACTACCAGCTTTTGGGAGAAGGAACACTAAGGATGTTTTTATTATTGAACATTTAACATCATATTGTAATATTCTTTTGATAACATGTATAACGCAACAATATACGTTTTCATTTTATATATATGATGGTTGTGTTACTTTCTTTACAATATTCAACTAGTTGTGAGACCCGTATATTATACGGGTTGATTAAAACAAAATGTTAAATACAAACGATTAAATGAGAAATTTATTTGAATTTGAAATTTGAAATAAATAAAAATTATGAGTAAAAAAACATGCAAAAAATAAATAAATTAAAATTATTGTTTAGTTATCAGACTTGTATACTAAATAGGTTAATTATAACAAAATGTAAATCACAAAGGTTTAAACTGGAAATTTGTTTAAAATTGAAATTGATATTTAAATTTTAAAATTTGAAATTAATATCATTATGGTAGGTTTAATTTATGGAAACTAATTAATAATATATTAGAAATGGAAAATTAAATAAATGACAAGTGGAAAATAAATATATCTCTAAATTATGAGAAAATGACATGTAGCAAATTGAATGAGAGAAGGACATGTGGCAAAATCATTCTTATTTATTAGGGTAGATTGTTGTGATACTACGTGAAGTCATCCGCCCCCGAATGTTTCCGCCATTCTGGTTTGGGGGTGTGACATCTGGTTATGAGGAGGATAGGGTGTGCGAGGAAGAGGATTTGATGAATGAGGATGTGGAGGAGGATTATTACCAGATGGGGGTGATGAATGATCATTATGAGGAGAGTCAGAATGAGTGTCTTCCACAATTTCATCATCTTTAATCAAGGCAATAATGCGTTTAATTTCTGCCATGTCGCTCTCAACTTTGATTAGTCTTTCTCGAAGATTGGCAGCCTCTTGGCTCCAACGATTTCCTTCTTCGCCATAAGTGAACAATGAGAGAGAAAGAGAGAGAGAGAGAGAGAGAGAGAGAGAGAGGCCCTTTAATTAAATAATTATATTTTTTTTCTTTTTTTTTAAATAGAGAAAACCTCATAAATGGTCCCTGTGTATTGAAATGATGAAAATACCCCTCACTTGACGGTAGAAATCTGACGGAGTTACTGTGACAACCCGAAATTTCCATTCTATACAAACAGTATCACTTCAATAGAAGTTATAACAGTCATAGTCGATTTTCAGACTTTTTGTATAAGTTGGAGTAATTTAGGGTTTACACTTTAGTAAACATCAGGAGAGTGGATGCGCTACGGTTTTGTGCAACACTGTTATTCCAACACTCGGATATATTAGAAATCATTTCCGGGATAAAAATATTTTCTGTCAAAATATTTCAGGACTATAAATAGATTTCTGAACTAAATTCATTCATTATTCACATTTCCAACTAGAGAAAAGCCATTTTCTCTCTCACGGATCTTCGGGTTTTCATCCCAAATCGTGAGTCTACTTTCCTAAATGTGTTTTAATGCTTGTTATATGCTTTATAACATTGTTTATATGACAAATTTGTAAGATCCGGGAGTTTACCGCCCAAGAACGTTCTTGGGGAGTAAACTCCAAAACGAAGCCTAAAGGCTATCTAGTCCCGTTTCCTTGTTAGGTAGCTAGTTAAGGACATTGTGTATAAACATTTGAGGCTAGAAATCATTCAAGAACACCAAGCTTTTGGAGTTTACGGCCCAAGAGTTTCTTGGACCGTAAACTGATGGGTTTTGAGCATTCTAACACTTCCTAAGTGTACATGCAACCCTAATAACCTTGGATCTATGTTTGTCTAATTGTCATGCAAAGTTGAATTCCAAGGTTATATTCCTATCTAGCATACATGGGTAACACTTTTAACATAAAGTATAGATAGAATAACTTACCTTGTTGTTGTTTGTGTTCCTTGAAACCTTGTGAGCCTAGCACCCCAAGTGTGATGCCTCAAATGCTTCACACAACACCAAATGCTCTTGGAAGAACTTATGAGAGAATACTCACTTCTTCAAAATCGGCCAAGCCCTCTTGTTTCTTAGTGTAGCCGATTTTGGGAGGAGGACATGTTACTTATATAGTGTTGACACACCTAGGGTTAAACCCTAATGTGTCATGACTCTTCATTTCCATGACCCATGGGTTTGTAACTCCCATGGAGCATCCATGGAGCATCCTATGGGTGGAACCCAACTTGATAGTCCATGGAGCCTTTTAGCCCACTATACAAGATATGGATGATTTACATAATCAACCCATATATTTAATTAGTTATCTTTTGATCACTTAATTAATTCTAAATTAATTCTTGATCAAACTAATCAAATAATATTATTAATATATTAGAACTTATAATATATTAATAATCTCCAAGTGTTATTTCTCTCATTTAGTCTATCCAATTGCATGGTGCCATGCAACCCAAATGGACCATGCCGGGTCGGGTCAAGTACATACCAGAAATAGTTATGGACTTAGACACCTTATCCAACAGTCTCCCACTTGGATAAGTCTAATAACTATTACTGCAAGTATGACTTCAGGAACCGATCGGCAATCGTAGCTCTTTTCAAGGTTTCTCGAAACTGAGAAGATGATGGTACGCCATTTAAGATAAGTGATCATATAATCCTCTGTTCTAGATATCAGTCGGACAAATACATGGAACAATGTCTTACTTATTGTCCAACAATTTGTTTCCCGATTTCCGATTTGTTTGACAAAGAACTTCATTGAACACATCAATTTAGTTCTGACCGGGCCCGGTACATAGGTCAAAACAAAATCATCGAGGGGCCCAGATATCAGCTTCTAATCCAAGAAGGAACAGATAAACTTCGACTCATATGTTTGTTCTACTACTCATTGAATTACACATAAGAGCGCGATTTTATAACATCGAGTTACCAATGCGTTTTTCGTACAATCAATGCATAACCAACTTGTAAGTAACAAATCATATCTCTAGGTTTAAAGATTTATATGATATTACCGTCTCACGATCACTCGAGATAGAATTCCATGAAGTGATTCCAGTGAGCGTGGGTTGAGTCCAATGCTCAGAACTTATGAGCACTCATGATTGTTGTAGCCTTGTCCCAGACCTCTACAACCAAACATGACAGTCTTGATTCATACCTACTTCCGACATATGACCGACTGTGGAGGTTTGAATAATATGTTATACCAAACAAAATTATTCTGGAAGTCAAAACATGCAAAAGAAATATAGTAAACGATCGACAAGAGATAGCAACACTTTACTCATAAATAAAACACTTTTATTCATCATCAAATGTCAATTACACTTTACAAATTTCGAGGTTATCTAACTACTAAATCTAATATCATCCTTCAGCCCTATGCTCCGAGCATGCTGGAGATGCTTAACCCGAGTCAGTCCCTTCGTGAGGGGATCTGCCGGATTCTCATCTGATGATACCCTCTTTGCCACGAGGAGTCCTTCTTCGATCCGATGTCTGATGAAATGGTATTTTCTGTCGATGTGTCTGGATCTCCCGTGATCCCTTGGTTCCTTGGCTAAGGCAACAACACTTTCACTATCACAGAAAATTTCCATTGGCTCTTTAATAGCTGGTACAACTCCAAGGTCTCCAATGAAGTTCCTCAGCCATAACGCCTCCTTTGCCGCTTCGCTAGCTGCAATATACTCTGATTCACAAGTAGAATCTGCCACTGTCTCTTGCTTGGAACTCTTCCAAGAAATTGCTCCTCCATTTAGGGTAAAGACCCAGCCCGACTGAGAGCGGAAGTTATCCCTATCAGTCTGGAAGCTAGCATCACTATACCCTACAACTCTCAAGTCATCACTCCCACCGAGGGTAAGGACCCAGTCCTTAGTCCTTCGTAGGTACTTGAGAATATTCTTTACCGCAGTCCAGTGTGCCTTGCCAGGGTTCCCCTGAAACCTGCTAACCATGCTCAAGGCAAAGGCTACATCAGGTCGAGTACACGTCATAGCATACATGATCGAACCTACAGCCGAAGCATAAGGTACTCGACTCATTTCTGCTATCTCAGCCTCAGTGCTAGGGCTTTGTGTCTTACTCACTTGGCGCTACTCTGGATGGGCAACTCTCCTTTCTTGGAGTCTTGCATTCTGAATCTCTTCAGAACCTTCTCCAAGTAGGTACTTTGACTAAGTCCAATTAGTCTTTTACTCCGATCTCTCAAGATCCTTATCCCCAAAATATAGGCAGCTTCACCAAGGTCCTTCATAGCGAAACACTTTCCAAGCCAGGACTTTACTTCCTGCAGGGTTGGAATGTCGTTTCCTATGAGTAGTATGTCATCCACATACAATACCAAAAAGCTAACTATACTCCCACTAGCCTTGACATATACACAAGATTCATCTTCACTCCTAGAAAAGCCAAATTCCTTGACCTTTTCATCAAAGCAAAGATTCCATCTGCGAGGTGCTTGCTTTAATCCATAAATGGATTTCTCAAGCTTACACACTCTATTAGGGTACTCGTTGCTGACAAAACCCTCTGGCTGACTCATGTAAACATCTTCAGCCAACTTCCATTAAGGAAAGCGGTTTTGACATCCATTTGCCAAATTTCATAGTCATGAAATGCGGCTATGGCTAACAGAACCCGAATAGACTTAATCTTGGCTACCGGAGAAAAGGTCTCATCATAATCCACTCCAGGAATTTGAGAGAAGCCCTTTGCAACCAGTCTAGCCTTATAAGTGTGTACTTTACCATCCATGTCGGTCTTCTTCTTGAAGACCCATTTGCACCCTACAGTCTTTCGACCTGGTACATTCTCAACCAAGTTCCAAACTTGATTGTCATACATGGATTGTATCTCGCTATCCATAGCCTCTTTCCATTTAGCAGACTCGGGGCCTGCCATGGCTTCCTCGTAGCTGTTAGGGTCATCTTGACTTACTAGTGTCTCATCACTAATAAGTGTCTCACCTTCTGCAGTAATATGGAATCCATAGTAATGCTCAGGTGCACTCCTAACTCTCGTGGAACGCCTCAGAGGTACAGATTCGTCAATTGGCTCAACAGGAGTTTCCTCCTCAAGTTGAGGGCTAGAGTTTGAAGTTCCTTCACCACTTGACTCTTGAATTTCTTCAAGATCAACTTGCCTCCCACTGTCTCCTTGGCTTATAAACTCTCTTTCTCGAAAGACTCCTCTTCTTGCTACAAAGACCACATTGTCACTAGGTCTGTAGAAGAGGTAACCAAAGGATTGCTGTGGGTAGCCGATGAAAATACACCTCTCGCTTCGGGTTCGAGCTTATCATGAGTCTCGCGTCTCACGAAAGCCTCGCACCCCAAATCTTGATGTGGTCTAGTTTAGGTACTTTACCAGTCCACATCTCGTGAGGAGTTTTGGCAACTTTCTTTGTAGGGACTAGATTAAGGATATGGGCGGCAGTCTCTAAGGCATACCCCCAGAATGAGATTGGTAGCGAAGCTCGACTCATCATGGAACGAACCATGTCCAACAAGGTTCGATTACGCCTCTCAGCCACACCATTCAACTGCGGTGTCCTGGGAGGTGTCAATTGTGAGACAATCCCACATTCCTTTAGATAGTCGAGGAACTCTGAACTAAGATACTCACCACCTCGATCGGATCGAAGCATCTTAATGTTCCTGCCCAATTGATTCTCGACTTCCTGTTTAAATTCCTTAAACTTCTCGAAAGTCTCTGACTTATGCTTGATTAAGTAGACATATCCATATCTACTGTAATCATCAGTAAAAGTCAAATAATAACGATTAGCATCCTTGTGGCATGTTTGAATGGTCCACACACATCCGTGTGTATAAGGTCCAACAAACCTTCACCCCTTTCACACGAGCCTGTGAAGGGTGACTTTGTCAT